CAATGCTTGTATCTAATGATAGGCTTGACGAATTGGAAATTACCTGAGGTATCGATTCCCTTGCCTACCACACTTTTAAAATGCCAAAGAGGATCTTGTGTGTTGGAATATTGTAGCATAATCATTTGGGAGATTTAACATTTGTTCAAAACTTTATTATGAACCAATCATTTTTGGCAGCCAGGACTATCATATAATTGTCACATCAAATATTTTATATCCATTTTTCATGAAAATTCCATTTAGTGTAATCTGCATATTTGTAAAAACAGTGACACAAATAAACCTTCAGAAGTGGACTATATTTTTTTAAAGCTAATTTTCAGATTAGGAATTTAAACAAGTTGGGCTCACAGAAGCAAACATTGCCCTGAAATTGACAATTAGATTAAAATGATATTGTAGAAAGGGCAGGAATTGTTTGCTGATGCAAAAGATAATATACCCCATTTTGGACCTGGACGGATCAGTCCTGGGGCTCAAAAATAGAGGAATTGATGAGCTATCTGCATGCAGATATTTCTGTATTTTTTCTTTGCAATCCAGTTTGATTCAACCCATTTTCAAATTGGATGTTCCTTTTGCTATCCTAAGTCTTGCTCACAGGGAAATTCTGGGAGTTGAAGTCCACACCTCTTCAAGTTGCCAAGGTTTGAGAAACACTGTGATAGATGATAAGATTTCATCTAATTTCAAGATGGATATTACAGAATATTTCTTCAACTGTGCTACACTTAGCTGGGTCTGATATATTGGGCCATATAAAGCTTCTGATATTATCAGTCTTTTAATTGATAATATTGATTTCATATTTAAGACTGAACACCTACGGTATAATATCTTTGGAAAATGAGAAAGCAAATTATCTGTAGATTTCCTCTTCCAGTATTGTGTTTGTGTTAGAAAAACAATAAAAAATTAAAAAGTATTCAGAAACTAATCAGGAAAAAAATGAAGCTATCTTAGAAAAATAATTAGGCAGTATAAATTGTTCATTTGAGTCCTTGGTTAAAGATGAAAGTCCTACATTATTATTAATTTTTGTAGCTATAAAAGGTAAAGATTCCCCTGGCACATATGTGCTTGTCGTTCCCAACTCTAGGGGGCAGTGATCATCTCCATTTCAAGGCCAAAGAGCCAGTGGTGTCTCTGTGGGTCATGTGGCCGGCATGACTAAACGCCAAAGGTGCATGGAACACTGTTATCTTCCCACCAAAGGTGGTTCCTATTTGTCTACTTACATTTTTTTTACGCGCTTTCGAACTGCTAGCAGAAGCTGGGACAAGTAATGGGAGCTCATTCTGTTATGTGGCACCAGGGATTCGAACCACCGAGCTGCCGACCTTTCTGATCGAAAAGCTCAGCGTCTTAGCCACTGAGCCATCGTGTTCCTGTTTTGTAACTATACTTCTCTATATTTGACAGCAAATTTTCCTCAAAAAACCCACAACACTACCAAAAATGACTCTACATGAATAATGAATGTTTAGTATGATTTAGTTTTTATTATTACAGTAGCTATTATCTATGATTTGCCTATTTGCAGGCAACCATCCTCTGAATATGAGAAACAGAAGGGACAGCATCTTCTGTTTGAAGAAAGGAAATATGTGTTGGCTGTGAATAGCTGCATAAAAGAAGAATTTTTGCAAGAGACACTTTTGCTTCATTTTCTATGTGAACTTTTCATCTTTAGGTAGTATAGAAAAAAGCCTCGTGCTTCGTATTGCATCAGTTTCCTTCTCTACACTTTCATTCAGAAAGGATTTTTCTTTCTTTCTGTCACTTGCTGTAAGACTGCTGTAGGCTTTAGCTACTTGCAAACCAAAGTAGATTTTTTTTAAATACAAAAAATTTCATTGGAAAAACAGTGTATGGGAAAACCCCTCCCTCCCATGATTGATAGACTTATTGGTAGACTCAGCATTCCTCTCACCCTTTACTGGAAGACAAGCTTCACTGTGCTACTTCTGGCTTTTCAAGCCGTCTGTGGGTTGTGTTCACCTCAAAGTTCATAAACAGGTAACCGCTATTTATCGTGATGACTGAACTGCTACTTGCATAATAAAACTATGAACTCTTTAAAAGCAAGAAAGCTCCCAGTAGTTCTGAGTGGTAGCATTATAGGACACAGAATACTTATTTGGATGGGTTTCATTTTAATTCAACAATGCAGATTTAATTTGCTTATTCTTTTCCTATCACATTATCTGCTCCTGTATAGTTATAAATCAACTGCAAAGAAAACTGGAATTTGGCAAAAATAGCCTGTCTATCAAAGAGTTAATCCTCCACATGTCAGGTGTTCTGTAGATAAAGATACCTATATTTTTTTCTCTTTTCATACAGTTGTTTTGTTTTTATGAAAATATGATCCCCCCAAAAAACAGGCTTTCCTGCACTATTCCTTGAAATTATGCTTGAACCACACCTCAAACATTTTCACACACACACACACACACACACACACACACACACACACACACACAGTCCCTTTTATTAAATGATAAAGAAGTACTATCTGAATTCATACTTCGTTCTGAGCACCACAGTCCAAAAAGGACAGTGACAAATTGGAACAAGCTTAGTGAAGGGATGTAGGATGGTAAAAGACACAGAAACCAAGCCTCAAGAGAAAGCGTTAAATGAACTGGGTATATTTAGTTTACAAAAAAAGATATAATAGTGGAATATGAAACTGAAAATTGGCATAAGAAATGAAATGGCAAGGTTCTCTATTATCCCAGAGAAAACAACCAGAACTGAGGGGCTAAAATGAAAGGTTAAGACTGGACATCAGGAAAATTCGGAAGGTATAAAGTGGTGAACCCTTATGTTTTTTTTTCCCTCTTGTGTCTTTGACTCGGCTTTGATTTCTGACTGCTGCCTGGACTAGCCCCTGAAGTTTCCTTGACTAGATTTTTTGGAAGTGATGTGCTAGCACCTGCTTCCCAGGGTAATGACAGAGTGACTAGTTCAAAGTCATCCAACTGACTTTGTGTTAAATGGGACTAGAATTTACAATCCCCCGGTTTCTAACCTGGTGCTTCAATCACTATACCAAATTCCATTTCTATAGTGGAGGTCTTCCAACAGAGACTGCAGGGTTATCTGTTAAATATGCTTTAAATGGAATGTTTAACTTTAAGATGTATGAACTACTCCCAGAATTTCCCAGGCAACATGCCTTCTTCTGTCCTACCTCCTGATAAGAGGGGACACCCAATAGGTGTTCCTCATTCACTCTCTAAAATGAAGACAGTCCTGGAGTAAAAAAAAGGGACATCAGATGACCAATGTCAGTGAAACCTTTCCCATTCCCACCTAACCATCCTCAGCAACCTCTTTTCCCCTGTAATATCTTCATGCTGCTGCGGCTTTCATTTAATCACAGCTGCAATCTCAAGCAGCCTTAAGGAATCCTTAGTTCTAAATTCCCCACCATCCAGTCAAAACTTAAATAGTTTCTTGGATGAGAAGCAAAATATTTTCAAGGGGAAAAAAAACCAAAAAGGTCCAGTTGCCTTTTGGAAAAGCACTCTTGGGACAACCATGACCTGGATGATTGAGAATCCCCATAGACAATTAGTTGTTCTACTTTTAGAGTGGTATTTCCTTCAGCAGCAGCTTTGCTGTCTATGGCTATGATCTATTTTGTTCTACCATTTTTTTTTCTGTCTGCAGCAAAGTCCTGCAAAGAGAACTCCTGAAAAATGTGATTGCACAGTTTCTACTAACAGTTTTGTCTACGTCTCCAAGCTGATCCACAGGCATTCATCCCTGACCAGGACGGATGGACACTTTCTGCTATTGGCTTCACAGTTTTCTCAACATGTGTTACTTGGGTGGTTTTCAAACAGGCATTTAACTGCTCTAAAACAACACTAGATCTGTGTCTAAAGGAGAGGTGGGCTCTCAGAGGCTAACTTTGCTTTGAACATACCCCTTAAACTAGTGGTCTCTAACCTTGGCAACTTTAAGACCTGTGGACTTCAACTCCCAGAGTTCCTCAGCCAGCTTTGCTGGCTGAGGAACTCTGGGAGTTGAAGTCCACAAGTCTTAAAGTTGCCAAGGTTGGAGACCACTGCCTTAAACCACTTGTGCAAAACTAGAAACTTGTTTTTGCTGATCTCAAAGCACTCCTCCTTTATAGGTCCAAGCTCTTGCCAACTATTGATCAATATTTCCTGCTTCTCAGTAATTTGGGGGGTGGGGAGGTGAGGATGAGGGAAAAACGGAGGAATCCTTCAATTCTTGCCTGGATGTGTTCTGTACTCCATCAATAAGGACAGTCAAACCATATGATGTGGCAGGGACAACTTGTTTGGGAAAAGAGCGAGAGCAATTTATTCACCCGAGTATTTAAAAAGTTGCTTACACCACATTGCTTCCTCATTTCCCCATCGGAAACGGTACTACCAGCTCCCATACACTCTGAATCAATACAATACAATAGCAGAGTTGGAAGGGACCTTGGAGGTCTTCTAGTCCAACCCCCTGCCTAGGCAGGAAACCTTATACTGTTTCAGACAAATGGCTATCCAACATCTTCTTAAAGACTTCCAGTATTGGGGTATTCACAACTTCTGGAGGCAAGCTGTCAAAAGCACCTCCCAAGGATTTCGACACGTCTTTTGCTCGGGTGAGGATGTGTAGACGTTTTCCCCAAATGCTTGCAGCCCTTTCTTGTTTTGAAAGCAATTCTCCCAGAATTACCCCGCTTAATCAAAGGCCAATTTTCCCGGATTTGGGGCACGTCTCACGCGCGGAACATCTGAATCAGCACCAGTCTCTCGTGTAAACAATGGGGCGAAGGCAGGAGGGGGACTTTTGCGGTGGTGGGGCGAGGCGGGGCTTCCAGTCAGGGAGGTCCCTCAGGCTCCTCTTTCTCGTCATTCTTCAGTAAGCAACAGCAGGTTAATCCCGGCTGATCGAAAGCATCTTCTGGGCGAAACCGAGCCGAGGGTCCTCTTTTTTTTTTTTTTTTGCTTCTTTTGCTGCAAGTTCTAGGACAGAAGCATAAAATCCTCTCCTGGGGATCGTCAGAGGAAAAACCTATGCCTCCAAAGCGTCTGCCTCGGCAGCCCATCGCTCAGCCTCATCCCGCTGTCTTTGCACCTGCATCCGGCTTAAGGTAAGAACCAACTTCCCCACAATGCAACTTTTGCAAAAAGTGCTGGGACTCCAGCTCCCAGAATTCTCGAGCCGCGGGCTTTTTCGGAGAATCGGGAGATACTTAGTTCAGCACCCTGAATTCCCTAGATTTTGGCTGCAAAAATTCGGAGGACCACTAGATGGCAGCAAAAAGAGGCACTGTAGTAGCAAGAGTGGCTGTTTCGGCCCGAATTTGATTTTCTAAATCAGTATTTCCCAGAAAGGGATTATCAAGTAAAGATGCAGATACCGCACAGTTAAATAAATACTTCCTCTCTACCTTCGTTTTTTTTTAAAAAAACCATTGTGGTTCACTCTTCTTGATTTAATTAGATGATTATAGTTGTGTTTTATACTTTCTCCTCCCTTCTATCTTTGGAGGCATCTTGAAACTAAATATTGCCACAAAAACATCCATCCATTTATCATTTGAGTAATTCTGTGTACCTCATGGTGTACAATAATAACAATTAATTCTACGTAGAAACTTGCTGCTCAAATTTTTCTTCAGTAGGCATCTTTATTAAGGGGTATTTGAGTCTCCATCCCTCTGAAATCCCATAAACGTATTTCCTGTTTGTCTGGGATCATGGTGCCCCTTAGGATGGCACACATGAGACTCATAATAATGACAACTGAAACCTGTTCACTTTTGTCATTTTTTCTGAGTTTTACTACTCTACTGCTATAGTAGTGTGTTAATAAGGTGTGGACTACCTGTGCTTTTAGAAGTTTAGGACTTTTGTTTATTAGATTTATGTCTTGCTTTTCTTTCAGCTGTCCAAGAGACAAGAATCTGGCTGAGGAAGAGTGATTGGCCCAAAGTCACCCTGGGAACCCCCAAGGCTAAAGGTGGGCTTGAGCTTGGTTTTCCTTTATCCTAGACTCGGACCATAACTACTACAGTACATTGGCTTTTCCTGCTGTAACTCTTGAAACAGATTCAGCAGTGAACATCTAGGAATCTTCAGCTCTTGCTGGTAAACCATGATATACTAAGTGGACACAAGCTTTTATGCAATGCTACAAGACAGTGATCTCATGATTTTTTGTTTCTGTGATGATTACACGGGCCTCAAGTGCTGTGTTGAAAGGATGCAATATTATTTCATGTCAGAAACATCGGTGATTGAATTATAATGAATCATGAATGTTCTCTATCCAGTTGGACAGCATATATATTGGCATTAATAATATATCATATGAATGAAACAAAACGGGAGCTGAATTGTATACAGATATATGTAATAAAAATAAATTGTCTGTGAATTACTTGCAGGGTATGGCTGGTTCAAGAGTAAAATAACCAAAATTACTTGGAAAGAATGACCAGAGAGGTCATTGGCACTTCAATTGGAAGCCAATGCCTTTATTCTAGAAAAGACATCAAGTACTTACGATTGCCAATAATTCTACAATAATTCTAGCCAATTTGTGTAATATGAAAAATAAAATCTATTATAGGCACGGGAATCCATAAAGATGGTTAAAAGAGAAGTTGAGATGGTAGCCTAGATGATGCAATCAAAGCTTTGCCTATTTCTAATATGCCACACAGAAAAATGGGTGAAGCTTTGATTATACTATCATTGCCACCATCTTGACTTTTTTGACTATTGACACGGGTAGCCATGTTTGTAACAATGAGCTTCAGAAGAATGGCCCACAATATCAATTAGACAAATGTTCCTCCCCCCTCCCTTAAGTCTGATTCCTAGTTCAAATCTTCAGATGTAACTATTATGTGTGTGTTATTCATATCACATTAAAGTCTAGTGAATTATACTATTAGAATTACATTTCAATTAGAATGTTTTTAAAATGTGGGGTTTTTTTTTGCTCTACAGGAGAAACTAAGGTTAAATAAATTTTAAAATGCATTCTGAAAATCTGGGAGTTTTGCTAACACTGATCTTTAGCTTTATCAGCTCAGGTAAATATAACTCTTTTTCTTTTCTCTCTTTATCTTAAAACATGCCATTTTGGGTCGATTGTTTTAAGACTGTCTATGCTATCGGAGGCTGGATATGATATGCAGATAATACATAAACATCAAAATAATGGAAAATTGTTATGGATAACCTTTGAGGAAGTTATGTTGATCGGACAAGATAAGCTGGCAGTTGTGAATTTACATGTTTTTGTTTCATTATAATATATTGTGACTTTCATGTAAAAATGCACCATTCAGCAGGATAATAAATCAAAAGTGATTGGAGGTTCAGCCTCTAAATATTTCCAAGGAATGGAAATGATCTAATACTAATGAAAAATAAATGTCACTAAAGTATCATCAACGTATCATCAATGATGATGATACAATCAAAGTATCATCAAATCAAATGAGACTACCGTATATACTTGAGTATAGGCCGACCCGAATATAAGCCGAGGCACCTAATTTTACCACAAAAAACTGGAAAAGTTATTGACTCGAGTATAAGCCTAGGGTGGGAAATGCAGCAGCTACCGATAAATTTCAAAAATAAAAATAGATACCAATAATGCCATTGCCCATTGAATAACATATACAGCCTGCCTGTGCCCATTAAATATACAGTAGCCATTGTAAAAATTTGCTCTGCATAACAAATTATTATCACACAATACCGGTGTATTCAATGAAATACTTCACTCACCTCATGATGCTGATGTCCCGCTGTGATGATGATGTCCCGTGCAGCCGCGGGAGCGATGTCCCGCCTCCTATGACACACGGCACAGTGATTCCTATCATTGGATCACTGTACCAGAGGAGGTGGGATATCGCTATGTGGCTGCTTGCCATAACAAGGAGGAGGTGGGACATCGTTGCAGAGCGGCAGGAGGGGGAGGAAGGGGAATCGTAAGATAGCCCTGCATTACATTAGAACGTGAGGAGGGGGGATGGTGCGGTGCACGCTGCGCGGCAAACTGACACAGAGGGAGGGGAAACTCAGGGGCGCTGGGCCATTCACGAGCATCACCCAGCGGCATGGCCCCACCCCTTTTTCTCCTGCATTTCGGGCAAATTTTTCACTGACTCGAGTATAAGCCGAGGCGGCTTTTTTCAGCTCAAAAAAGTGGGCTGAAAAACTAGGCTTATACTTGAGTATATACAGTACTTAAGATAAACATCATTTCTCTCCTACTCAAACCACAGTTTCTTATAGCACTGTTCCATAAATATGTATGTATCTTAGAGAATGTGAATGTGTGTGTGTGTCCCATTGTGACATTACACAGTTTGAAATAGAGCAATTTGTCATTAGCCTCTTTTTGAGCTTACAACTGGATTGTTTCTTAATTAGACTAAGGCAAGAATATATCATGAACCAAAGTTTGCTTGGTATTGTGGCATCCTTATCAATAAGATCTATTTCTCCTCCTTATCAGTGGTCTGCAAGATTTTGTGACACAAATGCTTAAATCTTTTTGAGGTTCAGTATTCTGTTTCAGAATAATGAAATACTGATGAGATTCCTTGAAAAATATCAATTAAATAGTATTAATATGAGAGATCTCCTAGATGATTTGGCAGATGGGTAGGGTAATGATATTAAAAAGTTAAAATGGCACCTTAACATGTGGAAAAATGGGACAGATCTTGTATCACTCGGTTACTTCTTGGCCTTTTAGCACCAACTGCCCAAAAATATGTCTGCAGGCTGCCAGAATCGCGTTGACCAATACAACAAACGTAATAATGCAGCTTTGTTAGCTGGTGATTCTGGAATTCTAAATGTTCTACAGCAGTGGTCCTCCACCTTTGGTGGCCCGACTGATGTGTGGGGGAGAGGGAAACCATGCCGCATGAGTTATGGGTGAGCATGCATGTGCGCTCACAGCTCAACTTGCACTAGTGGCTAGCCAGCACGCATGAGCATGCGCACACAGCTCGACTTGTGCAAATGAAGCTGGGACACATGCATGTGCACACTGACCCACCACTTGTGCAAGTCAAGCTGTGCATATACACATGTGTGTTAGACAGAACAGGGGTTGTGGGGAGGACCCCCGTTCTAAAATTCTAAATTTTGTACACAGTTGTATTAGTGTATAGAAGGCAAAATCAGAAAGTGATTATATAGTCTCTGTAGCACGTATTATTAAAATGTTAAGCTTTTGTCAGCTTCATAACACAAGACGCAATGGAATTGTTAAAAGATGCAATTTTTAAATTGGAATTTAAAGTGGGTAGAGCAAGAAGTCAAAATGAGGAATGTTGCCATTTTATACTTTTCTTTCTAGCACATATGCAAACAACTTTTTTAACAAAAAAAACCACGCTGCCAAGTTATATTATAAAGCTGAACTATACTAGCCCAAGTGTTATCACATTTCTAATAATAACAAATAGTCTTTCTATTTTCTATATGTTTTCATTTTCTGAAGGAAAGCTCTGCGAAAGGCACTCACCTATTAATGTGCTAGAAGAAGAATACTTTTCATTTTGCTGCCCTAAAAAACCACAGCATGAAGGACAAGCTATCCATTGGTTCTATAAAGGAAAAAAAGGAGAAAAAGTGCAAATTCATGGAGATAGCAGAATTGATTTGAATGGGTCTAATTTGCGATTTTGGCCAATTTTACTGAATGATACTGGAATCTATCAATGCTGTATCGGGTAGGCGCACTGTATACATAGATAAAATAATCGTATGTTTAAGAAGAAAGTAATGTCAGTGGTAAAATTCAAAAATTTTCCCTACCGGTTCTGTGGGCATGGCTTGGTGGGTGTGACTTGGTGGTCATGTGACCGGGTGGGTGTGGCTTGGTAGTCATGTGACTGGGTGGGCGTGGCTGCACAACTGATTCACACACAATGTAAAAGCAACTGAACTTCACACAAAATGCCTCCTGCAACAAACAGGACCCCACAGAATCACGGAGAGCTCAAAAATCAACTATCACATTTAACACAAAAATAACACAACTGACTTACACACAATGCAAAAGGAGCTGGACTTCACACAAAATGGCCCCTACAACAAGCAGGAAGCTCACAGACAATCAGGCACAGCTGATTGTCACACAGCTGATCAGTAGTAAAAAATGTTTTAAAAAGTAAAAAAAAAAGTCCTAATGATTGCAGGCACAGTTGATTGTCACATAGCTGATTGTCAGCACTTAAAAAAAAAACTTTTTAAAGCATTTTTTTTACTACCAGTTTGAGTGAACAGTAGCATTTTTTTACTACCAGTTTGGGCTAACCAGCCCAAACCGGTAGCATTCCACCCCTGAGTTATGTGCATATTTGTCTCTGTTCTCCAACCTTATAGTCTATCCTCAGTTTCCTGGATGTCACCTGTGTCAATTTGTGGCCAGTTAGCTGAGAAATCGCCACAAGTTTGCCAAGCTAGAGAAGAAGTCTTTAAAATGGCAGCTGGGTGTCCCTGCAGGTCACATGGCTGAATATCTAGTAGCAGCAGAATAGTGGTGAAGATGTCAGCTGGTGATTAAACTCTGGTGGTGAGAAAGGTAGAAATGAGATTTTCAGCAAGTCAGAGCGTATTCTTTTGACCAACTATTTAAACTTTTCTAACAACCATTTAAGAATAATTTATTTTATTAATTTGAAAATTACATGGTAAATTCCTTATTACTAGAGAATAAAAAGTAGTTAACTGAATATATTTCTATTTTGCATACATTGGCAAACATTTATGTTCCAATTCTTCAAATAACAATTTAAAAACCACAGTTTAAGACTATTTATTAGTTTAAAGTATAGGTTCATATGTTACACCAGAGGTGAGTTGCTCCCAGTGTGGCCCAGTTCAGCCAAACCCGTAGTGATGGTGATGGGAGGCTCCACCCATCTGCCCAGATGCTTTTGCATACACACAGAAACGTTGCACACAGGAGCACGAGTGAACCAGTAGTAAACCGGTTAGCAACCCACCATTGCGCTACATAGGTTGTCCAAAAAAGAAAAAGTTGATTTGTTGTTACCAAGTCTGAGATCCCTCATTAGCATTATCCGAAGGATCAAACCTTAGTAATTAAAACAAATGGGAGGAGAACTCCATATGTTCCAAGATAGTTGAACATTAATATTATGCTATCTAAAGAACTATTCCAATATAGCTAACCTTGTTGTTATCATGTGCTGAAAGGGCTCGTGCACACATAAGGGAGGGAGGGAGAGGGGGAGGGAAGAGAGAAAGAGAGAGAGAAAGACATTGTGTATTTTAAAAAACTCTGTTGCTTCAGAAATTGTGGTTTGTTTGTTCCATTTTCTTAGCTCCAAAGGTAATAGCACAGTTTTCAGCCCCAATGTGTGTGTATAACAGGAAGGGTATTGCAAATTAATTTTTTCTCAGCACGTCTATAACAGGAAGAATGTTACAAAAATTATGAGTAAGTCTATTTGTCACTTAAATTTGTCATTACACTGTTATGATTTACATAGATATTTTAGCAATTTTAAAAAAAGGATGATTTCAACCTTTTATTGTTTTAAAGTGAAATTTCCAAATTGATGTCATTTGTAACCTCATTTTGGCTTCCCCACTGACTTTGCTTGTTGGAGACCAGCAGTGAAGGTTACAAATAGTGATCTCAGGTCTGTGGGATGCTTCAACCTCATAATTCTGAGCTTGTCACCAAGTTCCTGAACTGTGATTATATGATCATAGGGATGTGTGATAGCTACAAATATGGGGACCAGTCTTAAATTTCACTCATTCAGCAGCATCATAACTTTGAATGGTCACTGAACAAGTGGTCATTAAGCTAGGATTATCCACAACAAAATTTTAAAATGAATAGGTGTTTGTGTGTGTGTGTGTGTGTGTGTGTGTATGTGTATATGTATGTGTGTGTGTATGTATGTATGTATGTGTGTATGTATATATGTATATGTATATGTATATATACATGTATATGTATATACATATATGCATATATATATATGTTATATTTATGCTGATAAATAAATAAAGGGATATTTATTTATCCCTTTAATATCCCTTTATTTATTTATCAGCATAAATATAACATATATATATATGCATATATGTATATACATATA